CAATGATTGGGATCCCTCCCAATAGCAAATGCATTAACTATGATCCTAGTTTTTGCAGGGATCTGAAACCCATTAATCTCACAAGCTTCCTTGCTTTCCCTTGGAAGCAATAATGGCGCAGGAGGGTGAAGTCTGCAAGTTTCTTTAATAATTTGATTTATGTACTCCAATTGACCAAGCTCTGCTTCATCAACATACCCTTTCTTCCCAAAGACATCCCTCACTTCTGCTTGTGCCATTTCCATTACTTTGGGATTTTTCAACAATTCAATCATTGCCCATTCTAAAATTGTAGATGATGGTTCACTTCCTGCCAAGAACACATCCTGCATCATAGTAAAATCAAGTTAATTAATTTGGTTCAAAATTTTGACGTATTTGTGATTAAGGAAAGAGTTACCATCAGGTTCACCGTTAGTGGAGTTTAACAGACACATGAAGGTTGACATGTGTCCTTCAGGGAATAGTTTTGAACTTTTAAATCAAAATTAATTCAGAAAATGGGTATGTGTCGATTCATCACCCCGCTTTTGGAGTCCAAATTTTACACCGATAGCGTATCAAATAATAACTCTCAAGGAAAATGGGATAAATTATACAATACCAAGATAATAGCTTTGATGCTTGTGGTTGATAAGGCTGTTTCAAAGTCTCCACGTTCCTGAATACTCAAAAGCAGTTGAACAAAATCATTTGCTTCTGCAGATTTATCAGCTTTATGTTCGTCGATGATGCTTTCGAGAATCCCATCGACTTTTTGATGCAATCCCCTGTATTTGGGCCTCAACTTGTTGATAAAATGGAGGAGTTTAAATGAAGGGTAGACATCAACAATACTCAAACCTCCAAACAAGGCTACAATTTCCTGGTTTACTCTCTTGAATGCTTCTTGGTGTTTGCATTTACCCCCAAAGGCTGCTTGTGAAACTATGCCAACCGACAGAGTATAAAGCATGCTTCTAAGGTTAATTGTCGATCCTTCTTTTTCTGATATGCTTTTAATCATGTTCAAAACATGTTGATCCCTGATTGATCGGAATGATTGAACACGTCTCGAAGTTAAAAGCTCGAGAACACATATCTTTCGCATCTGTCTCCAGTAGTCTCCTCGCGAGAAGACGATGTCTTGAAAATTGTAAGTGACAGTCTCTGCGGCATAAAGATGAGGCCTGTTGACGAAATTGGAATCTTTGGTTTTCATCACTTGTTTGGCTGCTTCAGGTGTGGAAACGACGACGGTTGGCACTTCCCCGAGCTGCAAAAGCATTACGGTGCCGTATTTGTTGGCCAAGTCTCTCAGAGCTCGGTGAGGAACGCTGCCGATAAGGAGGTGTAAGTGTCCTATAAGAGGCAATTTTCTTGGGCCTGGCGGAAACTTCATTGCAGAGTCGTCTTTGGCTGATCTGGAAGTGAATTTCCATGTTTTGCAGGCTGTGAATACGAAGCAGAGAAAGGTTAAAACTATGGCTACAAAGTATGAAATCTGGTCTCCCATTATTTGCAGTAAATACAAGTTGCTAAGATCGTAATTGGAGATATAGAGTATACCAATTTTGGACGAGAAGAAATGAAGAAATTGAGGGAAGTTTTCTGTCTTTATTTTTGTTTTTTTTTTTTAATGAGAGGCATAAATACTAAACAACTCTTATTTGGTACACTAAGAGTGTACAATTTAGACTCTACAAGTGGGGTGAGGAGTTGGCAATACTCATTTTCAGAATTAATTTCGATTTAAAAATTCAAAACTATTCCTTTAAAAACACATGTCAATTCTTAAACCTTGTATGTGTAGACCGCTAAACTCCACTCACAATGGACTGATAATAATTCTTAAACTAATGATAAAACTTTTACGCAAGCATAGAAAAATGCATTGCTAATTTGCTATTTCCAAGCTTTTTGGGAAATTCCGTGCATTCTGAAAAATTGATTCGAATTTTGTCCCCCATGACGTGTCATGACTAGTCATCCTATGTTATGTAACAAAACTTCACTCAAGTATTAATGAGACAAGCCTACTGGGCCAACCGTGTAAGAATACGTCATGAAAACCAAATTTTATGTCAAAAAAACCAAATTTTATATCAAATTTTCGGACTGGGTAGCAAAACTCAAGCTTTTATACCAAAACAAAATAAATAAAACCCACATCATCCCATCAACAATAAACAATAAACAATCATTCAAAAGCAATCCCGGGTGTTTATTGCTAAATGTGAGGCCCAATTTTTTTTCGGGCCAAAGAAAAAGGCCCAATTTTTCACTAGACATGTCTCGTTCATAAGATTTCAATAATAGCCCCAAAATGTAACATGTAACAAAAGATATAATAGCCCCAAAAGCCTATAAAACCCACAAGAGATTTTTTTTTTCGGTCCTGCTGAAATTCCCATATAGGCCAAGTATAACACCAAATTTATTTCTAGTCCATTCGGTAAATCCTTTTATAGCCCAACTACTCAAATTGGGCCTTGATCTTTCTAGGTTTCTTTTGGCTGTAGATCTTTCAAGGTTAATTTGTTCGAAATTTGAGACAAATGAGGACTTCAATCAATATAGCTAACGTGTTTGAAGCAAGTGCTAAGGAAAATACTTTTTGCCTTAATTTTACCGTCAATTATCCCACACCTAATAGTTAAAGTAATAAATTAATTCCAGATTTAGTCCCTAATTACAAATAAGGAGGGTTTGGAGGACAAATCCCTTGATTTTAGGGTATTATTGAATAGAATTTTAGAAATTATGATAACTTCTGCAGATTTTGAAGAAAGATAAATATGATTGAAATAGAAGGAGCTTAACAGAATTAGAACAAGATAGCTAGAAACATTAATCTCATTTGTTGCGTGTGCGGGTTGTGCGGCCACATGGGATCGAGTTCATCCAAATGAAGCTCCACCGAGGTCTAGCATTTCTACATGTGCGTGCGAGGTAAATTGATAAGGTTACTAGTTCTTTAAAGGGCTAAATGAACCTTTTCCCCATGAACTATGATGCTTTGGACGTTTTGTCCTTTAAAGAATTATTTTGGACATCCGACCCTTTGAAGTTTTATTTAGTAACCATTTTTCTCCTTCGGCTATATAATTACTCAAAATTGACAATAAATCTTAATTTAATTACTCCATATTGAATATTTCAATGTGAAGTCAAAGCAAAAAAAATTGCCAAAGTACAGTAGTTAAGTTAAGATGTATTGTCAAAGTTGAGTGATTATAATGCAAAAGGTGCAATAGTGCTCCTAAAATAAAACTTCAAAATGTCCAAAAGAATTCTTTAGGGGGCGAAACATTCAAAGCGCTATAGTTTGCCGCGTTAATGGTCATTTAACCTCCTTTAAAGTGTCCGTATATATGTGTAAACTATACATGATTTAATGCCATAATCCAAAGGAAACTTAAGGCAGCAGGGGCCATGGCTCCCCCTTCTTTAAAGTGCATAAATCAAGTTAAAATAAATTGTCAAAATTGAGTAACTATAATGCAAAGGTGCAATAGTGCTCCTAAAATAAAACTTAAAAATGTCCAAAAGAAATCTTTAGGGGGCAAAACGTTCAAAGCGCTATAGTTTACGACAGAAATGGTCATTTAGCCTCCTTTAAAGTGTTCGTATATGTCAACTATACATAATTTAATATCATTATCCAAAGGAAACTTCAGAAGGCAGCAGGGGCGATAGGCCCCCTTCCCCCACTGAAAGTTCTTAATACCAGCTAGACTCCCTGTGTTTAGTAGAGCAGTGTGATTGGCTCCGTTTGAACTGGAGTTGTGAGATTAAACACTGTACATATTAGATTATGTACTGTACATATCAGTGATAGAATCAGAGATGTTAAGTGAAAATAACAGTGGAGTGAGATTAAAATGTAAAATGACCTTTAAGGGTATTATTATTTAAAGGTATTATATCATTTTATTTATATAATATTTATTAAATTAGTATATGTGTATATAAATATTATTAATAATATTAAACTTATAATTAATTCTAATATTATTTATTTATGATTACTTGAAATTTATTATTAATTTATTAATCAATCAATCAATGAAATTAATTTAAAATGTGTTACTGATAAAAAAAATAAAACACAAGTAAAAAAAGAAAATAAATAAATAAAATTAAAAATTCATTAATGAAATAAATATATAAATAAATAAAATAAAAGCAGAAAAAGTTACTATTAAAGAAAGAGTAAAAAGAAAAAAAAGAGAATAAAAAAAAGGGTTAGAAGAGGAAAAAAATTTGGTCCCGTGACTATCCACACTGAAAAATGCACCTAAAACCACGTTTGGCCAGTCCATCACCGTTTTGGGGCCAAACGGTGATGAACTGACTACCTAACACTGGTATCATTATGCTTTGGCCCCATAATGATTTTTTTTTTTGCTAATTTAGCCTCATGATAATATTTATAAGTTAGCATCATTCAAATTTTCTTTAAATTCTCTCAATCTATTTTAAGGGTTGATTATTTATTCATTGCATTTTTTTTTCTACTCTATTTCATAGTATTGCTACCTAATAAAAGTTGGTGTTGATTAAGCTCCTGATATCAAATTCCTTTGTTTACATTATATATTAATTAGTATATTTTCATATACTATTAACATTAATGGATATATATATATATATATACACACACACACACACACACATATATATATATATATATATATATATATATATATGGTCGCTTATTAAAAAAGTATATATACTAGTTGGTCGTCCAAAGAAAAATTTCTGATTCCGCCCCTGATTTTTTGCTTTTGGATACATGATATAGTAGCTAGTAATCAATAACACAAATTAAGAGTAATGGATCAATTTAAAACAATGTAGATCAATGGTTTTAGATATTTCCCAGAATGGAAAATTACAATTGAAACTAAAGGATCCATATATAGAGAAGCAATCAATTCAGCCAATATATTGATTAATTAGGCTGCACAATTGACACTTTTGTACAGCCTTGATCTGAAGTATATATTAACATAGAGTTACATCAGAATAGGCTCTAGGATTGATTTAAGACAATCTTTATTCTCTTGGCTTTGGATACCAAACCAATCCCCATATTGGTAAATGCGATGAACACATCTTGTCAAGGTTAATGCCACATTAACAATGGCGGGTGCACGATCATAATTTTCAGCTATTGACTTGTTAAACTTATTCCATGAGTTTCGAATCAGAGTTTTTACGTGATCTCTTGCTTTTTCTTCCGAGACACCATTTTGCATCATGTAACAATAGATGAAATTCATGTTTTCTCCTCTTTCCATTTCAATCTGCATGAAAATCATCCATAATGTAAATGTTAGCATTACCCTCAATTATAATAATAATACTCTCTCCGTTTCAGTTTGTTTGTCACTTTGGCCTTTTTTTTCCAAAATATATGTAATCTAGTAATTCATGGTAATATAAATTATTTTCTTCCAATAATACCTCTTTCTCAACTACTAACTCTTGTTAATAAATTAATGTTTCAACAAGTTTCTATGTTCTTTTAAGGAACTAAAGGGTAGCTAGTAGAGTCATTTACTTATTTTATCCTATGAAATTTAGTAATTTTAATTATTTTATTAATTTGTGTGAAATTGATTAAAGTGACTGATAAATGGAAACGAAAGCAGTATAGAAGTACCTTGGCAGTGTGCAAATCATCAATTAGTCGAGTAATGACTCCTGTTAGAGAAACTAAGTCGGACTCATGCTCGATGAATTCTGACAAATATTCATTTAAAGAGTGTCCTAACACTCCAAAAATGCCATATATCACACATAAAGGAACACCGATTGAAACCCTTGCGTTCTCAATATATTCATCCGCAGTTGGAGTATATCCACTATGAATCCATCGTGCTTCTTGAAGATATCCTTTAATGTAACACATTAACTACAAAAATGGAATATTAATGTCAGAAATATTTTCATATTTGCCTGCATATCTTAAGGCCATGCATATATATATAGAGTTGAAATATATTATATGGTCGAAAATTTACATGTTTGTTAATGTAAGGTAGAATATCGATGCCGTTATTTTTCAAAGCATCTTGGGCCATTTCGCTAACATGGTCGTACAAAGCAGAGTAGCATACTTTCATGTACCCTGGAAGTTCTTCCATGGCCTTAAGATCCCGACTGCGCAAGACCCAAAAGTTTCGTTATTTATTGATGCAAATTTGTTTGCGCCCAATTGCATGCTATATATAGTTAGAGAGATACTAGCTTGTATTATAATTACCAATTTATTGCTTCCGTGAACTTCTCAAGCTCCTCGAGTGATCCATATGTGTCATATATGTCGTCTAATGCTGTTGCAACAAAGCAAAGTTTGACAAGATTCCTCCTCGATTTGGGAAATTGAAGCTCAGGGCTTCCCCCAATTGCAAAGAAGTAATTTTCGAGGAGCCTATCTCGAACAAAAGGTAGTTTTTCCTTAAAATTCAAGTCTTTCCACCACCTGTTCATAAATTATATACAATTTAACATGTTATATATCAAAACAAAAAATATACAATTTAACAATTTCTTTAAAAAAAAATGATCCTTGAATTATTATATGATCTAAAAGAATTTACCTAACTCCACCAGGAGACTAAGAGCTAGCCCGTCGAGTCAATGAGACCCACGATGAGACACTTATTTCATCCAAAAAAAAAAAAATTAGCTGACTCTTTTTTTTTTTTTTAATTTGACTTTTCCAAATTTTTATTGTTGGATGATTTAGTCATGCATCCAACTTTGATTTTAGAAAATTTAGCCCAAGTTGAATGGTACTTGTTCAAGTGACTAATGGTGCTCTTATATATGGAATGACTAAAGTCCGTTTTTGCCCCTAAACTTGTCTAAAATTGATCTTTTGCCCCTAAACTTTAATTTGAGACTTTTTACCTCCTAAACTTGTAATATGAGGACATATTAGTCCCTCTCAAAAAGTATTGATGATGTGGCCTTGCCACGTGGCATTTTTGGTCCAACATGGTATTGCCACGTGGCATTTTTGCCACGTCAACAATATTGTTTGAGAAGAATTAATATGTCCTTATATTGCAAGTTTAGGGGGCAAAAAGTCCCAAATTAAAGTTTATGGGACAAAATGTCAATTTTAGACAAGTTTAAGGGGGTAAAAATGGAGTTTAGTCTATATGGAATCAACTTTGATTCTAGAGGACTTGTCTCCGATAAAAATCATGAGCCAAATTATCCTTTTTATTAAGTTAAATTTTAACTTACTCTATATATTGGTGTAAGTTGATAATTCATGGTTTGTTTTGGCATGGGTCATCTAATTATGAAATTGAATATAATATAGTTTGTATTTGAACCACTATATGAAAAAGATTAAACGAAAATTAAATATATAAATCTTACCCAACTAGTTGCTGCAACTCCTTCAGGTAAACGGATTGCAAGATATTGTAATTGAGTTTAGCAAATTCAAGCAAAACCGAATGCATGGCTTCATCCCTTTGGTAGACATGAATGAAGTGTCGTGATTCAGACCAAGGAAATCTCCAATGTAGCGGAAAGTCCAATGACTGTTGTATCATTTCAACTATTTCACTACTGATCTCATCAACCTTCATTACCAATATTGACGACAGTGATTCACTACTAAAATTATAAGCCTCTTCTAAAATATCTTCTTCTGGAAACCCAAGGTAGGAAGCTTCGTATAAACTCAAAAGCCCACTTACGTCTTCTCGTAAACTGTCCATGAACTTCCCATCTCTTTCCATGAACTGCTTGAACATATCTGCACACATTTTGCAATTTTTTTTAATTTAAAGATTCTTTTTCGGTTAATTAATATGGGAGTATATATAATTTTATTTGTATAACAAATGATTATGTAACCTGTGGTAATTGAGAAGCCATGTTGACGCATAAGTCGAAATTGCAAAGCGACAGTGTAAAGGTTAGTAGGCGCGATGCAATTGGGATAATGGTGGAGTTGTGTCAGAAATTGGTTGATTTCTTTTTCAAAGTGGGAAGCCAACCCTAATCGCTGCATTTTGTCAATGAGATCCAATTGGTCATCAGGCTCTGTGGAATCCACCAGTAATTTCGTAACTCCTTGTTTCAGTTCCTCCAAACGAGTGCTGTGAGTCTCATACTGCGCATGCAGGATATTACCAAATTAATTAAACCATATATATATAGGGAAGATTGAAAATCCAAATCTAATGCGAAGTAGTACTTGATATCAAGTCAAGTACGATCGAAGACGAGTTAAGTTATTCGAAAATAAAAACAAATATATATTAATTGCGAGCAAGAAAATTTTCTATTGACGAGAGAAAATTGTACTTACAGAGTAGGGTGAGGTAAAGGAGTTGATAAGTTGTGCATCCCAAACGGTAGGAAGGTGGCCAGCTGATCGCCGTTCGACTTCATTCCGTTTCAGTCCGTCGGAGTACTCCATAACAAATACCAATCCTTGCCAAAATTATCAGTAACGTACGTAAATACGTGGGTGTATGTGTTGCGGGTGACTTGAATATGCGTCTAGGTAGTGCTATTTATAGTGGAAATCATCACCATATTGTTATGTTTGCTTTTGAGAAATTTATGTATATAAATATAAAGAATAGTATACTATTTGTATAAAAGATTATCTCATGGTGGAGTCAGAAATTTGGTTCAGTGGTGTCAAAATATTAATATAATATTATCATTTATAGTATAAAATTATAATATCAATATACATTGGAAAAATATATATCAATATTTATACACAAAAAAAAATTATTCACAACAATACAAATGAATAATTTATATATTTTATTGACAAGTTCTTGTAGTTTAAACCCGTAAATAAAATTTTGGAATAAAATAGACAAACAAGTTTTATTACTTTTTTACTTCTTTTCTGTTTGTCCCATCTATATTATTCCCATCTTTTTTATTATGCCCTTGTTGACTGATGAGAGGGGTCTATTCTAATTTTTGTTTTTTTGTTTTGGTTGAAAAGGAACTGGCATAAATTAGCTTAAAGTGCGATACATAATTTCTCCCCCTAAATCAGCCATAAACAGGGGCTGTAAGAAGTCAGGAGGGGAGTTTAGGGAAATAAAAGGAACAATAGAGGTAGTCTCATCAGAGTAATCTAAGCTATTACAAAAGGCTCCCATGGTGGGAGAAATACTGCTGCCTTTCCGAGCAAGAGCATCCACACATCTGTTGCCTTCCCGGAAGGTATACATCAACTTGAATTCAACGAGTCTCTGTAGCAATTTTCTGTAATCAATAATCAGATTATCAAGCAGGATGTTAGTGGTCTTTGAGTGCAAGTTAACAAGGCTAATAACAGCGGTGGCATCCAATTTGACTTCAAGGTGAGTGAGTTGTTTCTGGTTGGCTAGAATAAGTCCAACCCTTAGAGCCCATAGTTCTGCTTCTGTGTTTGTGACAGAGCCTAAACTATGGTAGGATCCAATTACCATGCTGATCCCTGATGAGAGAACCAGCTCCCCCCTTTCCAGGATTACCAATGGAGGAACCGTCCGTGTTTAATTTGAACCAGCCTGGTTTAGGTGGATTCCATTTGACTGGAGTAAAAGATGGAATCTGAGGAGGAGAACGAGAATTTGACATGGTAAAGTATTCGGCAGCTTTAAAGATAGCCGTGTTTATGGAAACTTGAGTAGGGATAGGACTCTTAAAAATAAGAGCATTACGCGCTAGCCAAAGTTCCCAAATGACATGGGTGAACACCAAAGACCAAGGAATCTTGTGCTGCTGGTAATAGAGTTTGGAAGAAAGATTGCCAATAAACCAGTTATCAAAGGGTGCATACTTCAGGTTGAGATGGGGCAGGGGGTCTTAACACTTGCCAAATGTTCAGAGCTTTTGGGCAAGTTCTAAACAAGTGGTCAAGAGTTTCTGGTTGAGGATTGCAGGCAGGGCAAATAGGTGAAATAGGGATCTTTCGAGAAGAAAGGAATAAGCGAGTAGGCAAGATTTGGTGAAGGCACTCCCAAAGGAAAAACTGAAGATTTGGTAAGCACTTAGTCTTCCAAACTAAAGTCCAACGGTTGCTGGGGATTTTTGTCAAGGGGATCTTGCGGGCAATAGAGTAAGCAGAAGACAAGGTGAAAGAGCCATTGGTCGAGAAATTCCAACAAAGGATGTCATTACCAGTGTGATGGGTGGGAAAGGAGATACCCAGAATGAGTTGTTGGATTTCTTCTGGGAAAACAAGGCTGAGCCGAAAAGGGGACGAGTTGTTGGAAGAGTCACGAAAGTCTTTGACGGTGAGATTAAGTTCATGGGGGAGAAGAGGTCCTTCAATGAGGGATTTAAGGGGGCCTTGCCCTGTCCAGTTGTCATTCCAAAAGTTGGTAGTTTCACCATTCTTAACAATCCATCCGAAACCATGTTCAAGGATTCGTTGAGAAGTCTTCATTGATTTCCATGTGATGGAAGCATTGGTATTGAGGCTCTGGCTATTGGTGAGGTATTTTTTCTTCAAGATGCTAGCCCAAGGCGCATTAGTGTCATGGATGAATCTCCAACTAAGCTTAGCGAGATAGGCGAAATTATGAGCTTTTGCTTGCTTGATACCAAGGCCTCCTTGATCGGGAGGTTTGGTGACAACATTCCAATTGATGTGGTGGAGTTTGCGGCTGTTTTCGGACCCTCCCCAAAGAAATTTTTGATTGATCTTATCAAGGTTATTACAAATGCTTTGGGGCAGGTTTCTGCATTGCATGTAGTAGGCTGGAATGGTCGACATGGTAGCTTTGATCAGAGTTGCACGATCCATAGGAGAGAGGAGACTAGCTTTCCAACCAGACAATTTTGATCTGACCTTGTCAATGATGAATAGATAGTCGTCTTTGGAGACTCGACCATGGTGGATGGGAAAACCCAAATATTTCCCCAGGTTATCGGTTTCACCATTACTGAGAGTGTTAGAGATCCAATTTTTCGAGTCAGGAGTGGTATTTGGGGAGAAGAAAATTTTTGATTTGGAGTAGACTGACCCGATTGTTGACAAAAATCCTCTAGAGTTCTCTTGATGGTTGATCGGTCATCAGTAATCATAAAAATAATCCCCACAAAATACTAACTAAGTAGATAAGGTAAGCAGGGGCCGATCCCACAGAGAAGGGGAATAGACTTTATCCAAAGATGTAATCCTTAAAAATCTCTCAAAAGTTTTGCGTAAGAACAGAGGATTGGAAATAACAATTAAAAAGAAAACAATTAAACTAAAAATAAAGCAAAGTAAATTAAATCTAAATTTATGGCAATTAATAAAGAAAACAATAATAAGAAAGCATACTTCTTCTCCAATGGTAGAAAACAATCAAATTAATTATGGATCCTCGATTTAAAAGATGAATTCAATATTAAATCCCTTATGATAACTGGCCTAGGGAAACCCTAACATGCTATTTAGTGAAATCTCGGTCAAGACTTATTTTACCCTATTATTTCTTAACTAATCAATTACCCGTCAAGACTTAAAGATTTGCTAGGAAACAAAGCATTAAGAACAACTATTATTAGTTCTTTCACACATGCTTAACAAGTAAAACCATACAACAATCAAATAAATCTGATCACTGGCATGCAAAACCCATTGACGCGACGTCAATCGTCATCAATTTGCTACAAACAACCAAACTCATGCGTCAACATTATTGTTTGATCTAGCCAACGATCCATCAAATTATCTCATTTATCGACAGTTATAAATCACTAAAATCAAGATCGTGTAATAAACAGAGTTAAACATACTATCTATCAAAAATAGAATACCAAATTATAAGAACAGAAATCTCACCATATTAATTGATTGAATTCACGAAAGGACAAGAAGTATCAAGAATTTAGCTACTCATGGATTTAGGAAAATCCATGAGAGGCTTAAGAAAACTTACAAGACCTTGGAGGGGCGAAATCTCCTTGCAAAATCGTTAGGTATGTCACCTCCTCTATGATTAGAGAGGGTGGCGGCACCCTTACCTAAAAACTAGAACTAGAAGAAAAATAGATGAAGAGAAAATTATGTGTGTGAATGTATGCGATTTATGTTACATATGGTGGCTATTTATAGTGGAAATAACCCTAAAAATTCCAATTCTAAGTAGGATAGGAGTCTAGGACAGTTTAGAGGCTGACTTGGTCTCTAAGTTGGCTTAAAAGTCTTCCTAGAACCAAAATCCTAGTCAAAATAGGATCCTGAAAAATTCTGGATTCGTGCAGGGACTTCGACGGTGATTTTGGGCTTGAAGATGGTGGTGCTGGGTCTTTAATTTCAAAGGAAAGTTGTAGATCTCGGAGTTAGCTTTCCAACGCCTACTCATGGGCCCAAAACGAACATCTGATCAGAAAGTTATGATTTTTCTACCGGGACTGCGCTGAATCCTAATCCTGTTAGGACTAGAAGCGGGAATAAGCGGGAATTGGATATTTCCTTGGATATAAGAGGCATTAATTGGGATTTTAACTCCAATTATGGGCTGAGTATTATCCCATATAAAATATCCAAAATTCCTTAGCTTCTGGGCTTATTCATGGCTTGTCTTCAATCCTTCGCAATTAAAGCTCTAATCTTCAATTCTTGCCTCTTGAGATAATTCTTCAATAGTCTTCAAATCTTCAAATTATCTTCAATAAGTCTTCAAACACGAACTTCGAATCTCCAAATCCATACTCAAAATTGCTAAGTCCATATTTGAGTAAAAAGTCATCAAAATAGCTCCAAAAAGAGTGAAAAACAAGTTTCCACTTTTCTTGTCTTCAAGACCTAAAAACACAAATACTTATAAAATAGGGTTAAAATACACATATAAACACCAAAAAGCATAGGAAAATGATCATAAAAACATGGTCTATTTTAGCTCAATCAATGGTAGAACAAGATTTTTTGTTCGTTATGGCAAAAAGAGTAATATCATCCGCGAACATTACGTAAGAGATTTTTGGACCCGATTTGGAGGAAGCAACCGGAAACCATTCCTTATTCTCGCAGGCTTTCGTAATGGAGAGGGATAAGAATTCCATGCATAAGATAAAAATATAGGCCGAGAGGGGGTCGCCTTGCCGAATCCCTCTTGTGGGATTGAACTTCTCCAATTGTCCACCGTTGACAAGAATGGATGTGGTAGAGGAGGAAATGCAACTTAGTATGAGTTGTTGCCAGTTCCTGGGGAAATTAAAGGAAGAAAGGACCTTTCGTATAAACCCCCATTTGAGTTTGTCAAATGCTTTTTCAAGATCAATTTTTATTGCCTTCCAACCACGCTTGCCTGTGGTTTTTTGCATTGTGTGGATGAGTTCTTGGACGACAATGGCATTATCGAGGCCTTGCCTGCCGGGGATGAAGCTAGATTGGGCAGGAGATATCAGCTTGTCAAGGAAAGGGCGGAGGCGAAGAACCAGTATCTTGGTAACCAACTTGTAAATGGTATTGCAAAGGCTAATGGGGCGGAATTGAGAGATGGTTGTTGGGCCTTGGAATTTAGGAATAAGGGAGATGAGGGTGCCGTTAAAGTGTTCCGGCATAGTGGCTGAGGAAAAAATTTGTTGAATTTCGGAACAAACTTTAACAAGGACAACAACCCAATTTCTTTGAAAGAAGCCCGGATGCAAACCGTCGGGCCCTGGTGCTTTGTTGGGCTTGAAGGTCCATAGCGTTTTTTGAATTTCAAAATCCGACAGAGGGGCATTGAGAGAGCGCCAGTCATCATATGACAGCCGTATCCAGCCCATGGGGAAGGAGTCGAAGGAAAAAGGTTCATTGATACTAGAAGTGGAAAAGAGATTTTGAAAGTGGGTCAAGATCAGGCTGTGGAGTTTAGATGTATTGTTGACCCAATTGCCGCTATGAACCATCAGGCCCATGATTTTATTGAAACGGCGTCGGAAAAGGGTTGATACATGGAAGAAGCGAGTATTACGCTCACCCTCTAGCATCCGGTTGAGTCTAAATTTGAGAGCCCAAAAGTCCTCTTCATTTTTGAGTAGTTGTTGATACTCGGAGATCAAGGATTTTTGAAGATCTAGGAGAAACTGGCAGGGGTTATTATCGATAGCTGTTTGGGTACCCGCTAACCTAGCCAAAACTCTTTTCTTACGATCAAAAATATTTCCGAAAGTAGATTTATTCCATTCGTGGAGGAAGTTGGTGAAGCCTTGGATAGTGACAGCAAGATCATTGTTTGTTAAACACCAAAAATTATTGAGAATGGAAGGAAAGTCATCGTGGTTGTACCACATGTTTTGAAATATGAACGGTCGGTTGGAAAAGTGAGGACTGACATCTTCAAGATTTATTTTGATGGGGCAGTGATTCGATCTCGTACGAGTGAGATGTTGGATAGAAGCATTGGGGAAAAAAGGAGTCTCCAAGAAGGGTTTGCGAGAGCGAGATCGAGCCGTTCTTGGATGAGAAGTGTATGGTTGCGAAGATTGGACCAAGTGTATCGAGGACCCGAGAATCCTAGATCCGAAAGTTGACAATGATTGAGGCAA